TGTATGCAAAATAAATAAACCTTTTTTTAAAAAAGTATTTGTTAAAAAAAACAACACTGAAGTTGAGATATGGGATATGATACATATATACAAAATCTCAGAAGACTGAAATTTATAGTTTCCTTATGATGGAAAATAAACCAAAACAAAAGATATTATAATACAACCCCCAGTAAAAATATGAAAGTGGTTTCTCAAAGAAACGAGCCAGATTGAAAGCACACATATTACTCAGTCATCAGTTTTCTAAACCATACTATGACTAAGGTAACATTGTTCAAGAAACAATATACAAAAAAACCCCAAGCTTTTGTAAAGCTAATATTATAAAATCTATTTAATAAAATTGGAGCATTTTTTTTTAAAGATTTATTTATTTATTCATACAGAACTGGGGTACAGGCCAGAGATGTGGAGGGTGATAGGATTCACCAAAGACAGAGCGGGGAGCAGAACAGGCAGATCGACAAAGTACACTGCTGAGGAGAGCAGTGGGCGGGTCAGGAGAGGTCTGCCACGCCATGTGGTCACCTCCAGGGCAGGCGGGAATTGAACTCATGCGGAAGTGGCTTTAGCTTCTCAGTGCAGTGCTTTAACCTGCTGCGCCACCAGGGAGGGCCCAAGTTGGAGCATTTTATTCACTTGTAAACTCCTCTGGCTCTTATAAAGAACCTACTAAAACGCTGGGGTTTTCTTTCAAGCACTTATCACTACATAAAATTATCTCATTGGTCTATGTCTACTTTTAAAATCCACAAGAGAAACCACATAACCTCTAAACAATATCTAAAAGGCATCTAAAATCATGCCAAACCCACAATGCTGCTTAGAAATGTTAATTAAATTAATGGATAAATAACTTCCATAGTATAACACATGAGTGGCATAAAGAAAAGGCAGCTAAAATTAGCAATTTCATAAGACAAATATGCTTATTTCTAAGAGCATCAACTTTACTCAAGTCATTTTAAACATTTTCTATTAAAAAATGTATATTATGTAATAAAATGGAAAATTCAAATGAATGTTTGCAATATAACACAAGATCTCAGATATATTTTGTGATACAGGTAGCTATTTTCTATTTTTAGATTCTAAGGACACTTTTATCTCTTGTTTTTAGATTTCATGAAAAAGATGACAAGTACTTACAAACATAAACTAACTCAACTCTGTGCTCATTTAACCAATTCTCCAAATGACTATATACTCTTTGAGTAGCTCATTAAAAAACACCTTTATATTTCTAGTACCTAGCACAGTACTTACAAATCAAGAACAGTTCTATATATGGATGTTCCAATGTTCACTTTGACAGAGATGCAGACATAGACATCAGACTTAACTTTTGGCTTAAAACAACATATATAACACAATATTTATATATTATTATAAATTATATATTTATATTATAGAGATATGTACTTTTTTTAAGTTTTCAAAACAATGGAAGACAAAAGATTCCTGAGAAACTAAAACAAATGAGACAAGCCCTGTGACTTTCAGGTCACAGAGAACGGAAGGGAGAACCCTGGCCAAGCCTTGGAACCCCCTGAGTTAAGGAGTCAGGGCAACTAGAAGTCACAGTACAAGGTACCAGAGAGGAGATGCTACAGCGTCTGAATTCCAAAGATGGGCAGATGGTCCCTAATGAGTATTCAAGTGAATACTGAGTAGTGAATTAGGTAAAGAAATTACCAGAAGTACAACAAAGTATTAGAAATGATAACAGTACTAAACACTGTCTGGCTCCTCAGGAAGTTAAATACAGAACTGCCTCATAACCCTATGCTCCTAGTTATTTATCCAAAAGTTCTAAAAGTATCAAGCAAGTACATGGAAATCTAGGTTCATTGCAGCAATGGTCACATATAGGGTATAAACAGTCTACTAATGGATGACTATATAAACAAATTGCTGTATACAAACGAGACTATTATTCATCCATAAAACAAAATAATGTATTGATATATGCTACAACACAGATGAACCTGAAAAGCATTATGCTAAGTATAAGAAGCCAGGTTACAAAATGCTATTTATATGAATATCCAGAATAGATAAATGCAGAGACAGAGCAGACTGGTGGTTGCCACAGGTTGGAAAAAGAGGGAACTGGGAGGAATTGGTTAATGGGCCCTTAAGGGGTTTTGGAGACATGGAAATGTTTGAAAGAGAGAGAGGTAACAGTTGTACAACATTGTGAATGTGCTAAATGCCAGTGAATTCTTCACTCCCAAGGTGGAAGGAGGAAAGGAGAGAACAGAGTGGCAAGAGAGCACAAAGGACTAGGGTAGAGGTTATGATTGCTCTGGTGATGGATACAGTGTAGTAAGAACAACTGAAAGGGGAGATCCTATGCACAAAAAGCACAAAGGTTGAAAAATCAATGTTACCTGAATTTAAAAAAAAGAACTTTAAAAGTTCAAGGTTGGCAAAAAAAATACCTTGGTAATATAAATCAGAAGATTAAATTAATATTAATATTAGAAAAAGGTTTCAGATGAAAAAACATAATTGGCGATGAACACTGATTTCATAATGATAAAGTGGTGAATCCATTAAATAATAAAAAGCCTGAACGTTTATGCCCCAGTTATAGGGGTTAAAATAGTTGAAACAGGCCCCTGGTGGCCCGGGTTAAAGCACAGCACTGAGAAGCTAAAGCCACTTCCGCATCAGTTCGATCCCCGCCCCGGAAGTGACCTACATGGCGCAGCAGACCTCTCCTGACCCGCCCACTGCTCCCCTCAGCAGTGTACTTCGTCGATCTGCCTGTCTCCGGTGAATCCTCTCTGTCTCTGGTGAAGCCTCTCTGCCGCCCCTGAGCCTCTGGCCTGTACCCCAGTTCTGTATGAGCAAATAAATAAAAATCTTTAAAAAGAAAAAAAAAAGAAATCATGTATTTGAGGACTCAGTATTTTGATAACTATATTATATATAGTTGAGTTCCTTTATAACCCTATGTATTTTGTATATTTAAAATACATTAAATATTACAGAAAGTATGAAATATTAATTCTATGAAAAGGTTTAATAGGCTCCCTAGACTACCTCAGAGGTCCATAACAAATAAAAACCTAAACGTCTTTGCTGTAATATATCATGTGCCCATTTTATAGCACCCATTCCAGAATCTCTAATACCTTTCATAAATGCAAGAATGTCATATTCTCCATGGTTCTACAATAGTTTACACCCATGACATGTAAATCTGCAACTTTTTAAGTAAGTAGTAGCCATATTTGTTTATGCTCACTAGAGAGCAGAATCCATATAAAATTAAAGGTATCAAAGTGCTCCACCTATTCAAATATACACAGAAACATTAGATTGAATACCACAATGTTAAATGAAATATACTTTCTGAAATTATAAGTGGGGCTAGCCTAAAGAAAAAAAAATCTATCTTATGTCTCCAGTAAAAAGGAATTTAATAAAGCATCTGAAAAATTATATTAAGTACCAAGAATGAGTGGAGAAGGGTAGGAAGTTTTGTGTTCTAAATCCTATCTATACTGTGCACATACTATCATTTTGTTTACTCACTTAAAAAAGCAGATGACAAGGTTTCTAGAATATTACATTTTTTTGATCCCTTTATTAAATGACTTTAAACAATGGAAACACCCAAATAATACAAATAATAGGAGGGTAAGGGGTCTAAATTGCAATAGTGATAAATCCAACTGTGGATCCAGGGGCAGAGACTACAAAAAAAAAAAGAATTCCATGTTCTGAAGGTAAACCAGATGAGAAATATATGTGGAAAAAATTCTTAGGAAAAAGTAAATATTATAACTATTACAGTAAGTATTATGATCCCCTTCATATCAAATGTACTAAAAAAATTATATCCATAGGAATGTAAGAGAAATCAAAGTATGAAAAGAATTTGCTTTTCCTCACTTCCTATTATTGTTTCAAAATGAAATAGTCACACAAAATCATTCATTCAATTTAAGCTTAAAGTTATTTGATTTTTTTTAATCGATCTATTTATTTATGCATACAAGAACTGGGGTACAGGCCAGAGGTGTGGGTGGTGAGAGGATTCACCAGAAACAGAGTGGGGAGCAGAACAGACAGATGTGTAATGAAGTACACTGCTGAAGGGAGCAGCAGGAGAGTTAATAGGGGTCTGCCACACCATGGGGGTCACCTCCCTGGCTGGGAATCAAACTTGTACTTCAGTCACTGGGGATCACTTCATAGTGCTATGTTTTAGCCCATTGTGCCACCAGGGAAGACCAAAAGTATTTGATTTTATACACATAATTGTCATTTTTCAAACTTTTACAAAAACTTAACATCAAGCTATATTAATTTGCTATGTATCTACTAACATCTTATAAGCTGTCAAAATTATATTCTTTAGCTCTTTTTTCCTGATTACAGAATCACTATTCATTGTAGGGGATTTTTAAAATATAAAAATAACAAAGAAAACAAAATTCCCGTATCTTAGCAAAATGAAATAAACCTATATCCACGTTATTTCTTCTATGAATACTATTTACATGTTAGTAGTAATGTCATTATTCAAGATTTATGGACATTTAAGTTTTAGCTAAGAGTGGTATAAACATTATTTCAGTTTACCCTTAACCCTTAAAACAATCCTATGCACATAGGTTGTTTTGTTTTTTGTTTTTTGTTTTTTTCATATATGGTAACTGGAGTTAAAATCAGCTAGGAAACATGACTAAGGCCTCAAAGATAAGTGAATGCTGCCTCCAAACCAACACTCCCAATTATTGTACTGGGCCCCAATGCAGAATGAATGCTATATTCTAATCCATTTCCTAAGTCATAAGTGGTCATTTACTATAATAGCATTTGAACATAATATATTCATTTAATTACTCTCCTACTAGATCAGATTTTTATAATTATTCAAGTTAGTGTGATTCATTTAAAATAAAAAAATGAAAACTGCGTGAATGCAAGATTTGCTTATCTACTTTTAAATTTAAATTAAAATATATAATTCAACTTACTCTTTTACTGAGGCAAATAACTGGCCACATACTGCAACCTAATGTGCAGCAGCAACAAAGGCAGCCACAAAGTAGCCATCGAACATTAACAGGAAGATTCTTCTTAAGACAACTGTTAACTCTGTTGATGCTGGCTTTAAACTCTTCAGGAGCTACCTAGAGAAAAATTTAAGAAATAATAATACTGCAGTATTAAAGTCAATTAACATGTGCTGTTAGTACAGTTTTTTTCTAATTTGTTAGGAAAAGACTAGTTTTGAGGCATATAAACATATCAAAAATAATTGATACTCACTTTTCCAGTTAATGAAGAAGGGAATTCTGATTCAAATTTGTTGCTCAGTCCAAATCTATTTAAAAAGGAAGAAAATAACATTATTTAAATGTCATTGGTACAAAAATAATAAGACTATTTACCATAAAAGGTAAGGTAAATAGAGTGCAACTTCATAGAATAACAAAAGAAGTTTAAGACAGAAAAAAACATTGTAGTCACCAATTTACGACACTTAATAAGCAATTTTTGCAGATGAATAAAAAGTTCTTTATAATAAGGGGTTGGGAATACAGAAGGAAGTTACTTCTTTGAAACTACCTCTATGAGCCAAATATTAATATTGTAGAAAACAACATAATTGTCCAATTTTGTCAAAATTGCTAATATTTTTCCAAGTAGAAAGCTAAAATTTTGCTACTGGCCACTCTTTAGGTAAAGAGCATTTGTTAACATTAAATAAAGCAGTAATGTATCTAAGAATGTACATTAAGTATTTAGCATTTTCTGAGATCAGTGTATATACCACTATTACAGTCAGAAAATTATAAAAACACCTGCAATAATGTGATAGTTGGCCTGGCTACTTAAACTTTTAAGGACTGTGAAAGAAACAGAATTAAGGTAGAGCAGTTCAATGTCTCTAAGCTTTTAAATGTTTGCCAAGATCGGGAGGATTGACTGGAGGATACTTGACTATTTCTTTGCTTAAGTTAGTATGCAAATATTCAGCTACATTGGTAATTGGACACTGCACCTGGAAATAAAAGTTGAGACTTTTAAATATGATGACTTTTACTAGATACTAGAGCCATTTTTTCCAGCTTTGATGAGCTATAACTGACACTGTATTAGTTTAGAGTGCACAACAATTTGTAATATGTATCCATTATGAAATGATTACCACAATAAGTTAACAATCATTATCCCACATAGTTACTTTGCTATGAACCACTCTCTTAACCAATCTAAAATACACAATTTTACACTACAGGTAGCAGGCACTAGTAAGGATTTCCTGAGATATTCTGTATGAAACAAATAGTCAGGCTATGGGTTTGAACCATCAGCAAAGCTTAATAGAGGAATCAAATGAGGTGGGCTGTGTGAAGTAGTAAAGAATAGTAGAGACTGGGTAAGTGGAAAATGAAAATGTGGAGGAGGTCATGGATCAGGTCCACCTCTGTCCAACTAGAATGAAGTTCCATATATGATAACTGTATGATTTTTCTCTCTCCAAGAGTAAAGTAGAACAGATTTCTATGCAAAATCTGCTATCTTTAAAATACTGTATCAGTCATTAGACATAAAAACCAGTGGATTCGGATAGAAAACCTAGATATAAACCCACAGGTTATATATGGACAGCTAATCTTTGACAAAGGAGCAAAGAAGATACAATGGAACAAATAAAGTTTATTCAGCAAATGGTGCTGGGAAAACTGGGAAGCTACATACAAAAAGATGAAACTAGATCACTACCTCACACCATACACAAAAATCAACTCGAGTGGATTAAAGACCTAGACATAAGAACAGAAACCATACAATACCTGGAAGCAAAGATGGGCCAAACACTACACAACATACACTTCAGCAACATCTTTAAAGATAGAGCACCCAATGCAATGATAGTGAAGGCAAGGATAAATAGATGGGACTACATCAAATTAATGAGCTTCTGTACAGCAAGAGACACTACAGAAAACAGACAGACATCCCACTTAGTGGGGAAAAGTTTTCTCCACAAAACTAGTGATAAAGGATTGATCACAAAAATATACGGAGAACTGATGAAACTCAACAAAAAAAACAACTCCATCAAAAAATGGGCAAAAGAGCTAAAACGACACTTCTCCAAAGAGGAAATACAGAGGGCCAACAAGAATATGAAAAAGTGTTCAACATCACTCGTAGTAAGGGAGATGCAAATTAAAACCACAATGAGATACCACCTCACCCCAGTGAGAATGGGACATCTTAAAAAAACTGGCAAGGGCCCTCCCTGGTGGCGCAGCGGGTTAAAGCACAACACTGAGAAGCTAAAGCCACTTCCGCATGAGTTCTATTCCCGCCTGCCCCGGAGGTGACCACATGGCGTGGCAGACCTCTCCTGACCCGCCCACTGCTCCCCTCAGCAGTGTACTTCGTAGATCTACCTGTTCTGCTCCCCACTCTGTCTCGCTGCCCTTGCACCTCTGACCTGTACCCCAGTCTATATGCATAAATAAATAAATCTTTAAAAAAAACTAGCAAAGATGTGAGAAAAAGGAACTCTCCTGCACTGCTGGTGGGAATATAAACTAGTACAACCACTATGGAAAACTGTGTGGAGGTTCCTCAAATTGCTAAATATGGAGCTTCCATATGACCCGGCGATCCACTCCTAGGTATCTACTCAAAAGACACAAAAACACTGATTCAAAAAGATACCTGCACCCCCATGTTTAATGCTCCTTTATTCACAATTGGAAAGACATGGAAACAGCCCAAATGCCCAAAAATGGATGAATGGATTAAAAAGATGTGGTACACATACACAATGGAATATTTTTCAGCTACCAAAAAAAGAAACACATATCTTTTGCAGCAACATGGATGGAACTGGAAAAGATCATGCTTAGTGAAAATCAGCCAGAAAGAAAGGAAAAATACTGGATGGTTTCGCTCATAGCAGCAGTATAATGGACCAGGCGAGAAAATAGTAAGAATAATGAACCGCTATATACCAGAGACATTTTGTGGGGGTGGACTGGAGAACAGGGTCAAAATAGTGGGGGGAGGGAAATGCAATAGATTATGGTGATGGCATATGGGTGATTTGGTGATGGGAAATCCAAGGGGATTGCAACTGAGATGGAAAAATGCACAAAAAGATGTAAAAATAAACTATTATATATAAAATAAAAATATATATACTGTGTAAGTCAAAAAACTAGTTCAATGGATCAGGCTGTTTGGTTTGTCCCATGGTCTAGCTTTTCCTACATGTGGATGATGGCATCTAAGACCTTTTTATCATTTTAAGTAATTTCATACATCATTTAATAGTGGTACTGAAATAACATTAATTTGTTCTGCGATATCAGAACTATCACATTCATTAATATCACTAATAAACTCAACAGGAAGGTCTTCAAGTATTACGAAGCTGTCAAGTTCACAGTTAAAGTTTTCTAAAATCCTAATTTTCATTTGAAAGCTGGAGTTTTATTAGTGATAACAAATGCTATCAGTTGCCTTGAAATGACAATCTTGCTTCCGTAATTAAATCATATCACCTATACTTTAAAAGTTAATTTCAAAGCATATTATTTTAATACTTAGTCTTCTTCTAGCTTTGAATGTTTTTAGTGGAGATAAGCTATGGCTGAATTTAACAGGTATCCTTCACATACATAGGCAATATAAACAGGAGAAAGAAAAATGTAGGGACAACTAGGAAGGAGAAGTAGAAGGAAAGAGGGAGAGAAGAAATGATTGGTCCAGTATTACCCATGCTTATTTACCATTCAACACCTACTGTCAGTCCTTTAGACGATGTGAAGGAAAATGTAGACATCTACTTAATATACATCTATCCCTACTCCCTAAAAGACACCCTCAGGTGTGATGACTACTAGGAGGGCTCACAACATATAGTCTACTCATAGAGTACAGTTAAATGTACAAGACAAAATCAGCAAAGGTAAAAAGGTACACTGGAAAATGTCCAGAGGAAACTAAGAATGAACTAGCAATAGTGTTTTGTTTTGTTTTTTCTCCTCAGTGGAGACAGACAATATGCTTAATTCATAAAGCAATTCATTTTGATATGTATAAAATGTTTGCTATCAGCAAAGTTCACTAATGACTAAGTGCCTGAGGCTTTTGTTGAGGATTGGTCATGCAGGTACAGGTACCCTATGTCTAGCCATATACCAAGACTTGGGACTCCCAGAAGGAAAACAAGTATTCAGAATAAACTACATTACCTGTACACAGTTTAAACACTCTTACTAATTCTGGAAATACTGGGATCCTTCTCAAAGTCCACATTCCCAAATATCAACCAAGTATTGACAATGCAAGCAAGTCTTCTAAGACTAGCAAACTCAGGTCAGCTTTGTTAACATTCTTCTGCACACTTTCATACTCTAGGGACACAGTGTTTCTATCATGACTCTAGTCTTCTTCCCAATTAGTTCAATATTCAGCATCAGACTCTTAACTGGTTAACCTGACCTCATCTAATGTGAGATAATTCACTGATATTTAATTCAGTCATGAAATTTTCTGTATATTTTCATCACTTGGAACTATACCACCTCTGAAATTCTGAAATGTAAAAATTCTCTTCTAACTACCATCGTTTCATTTTTCCCATCCTTGCCAAATGTTGTGGCTCTGGTTATAATCTGCTTGTTCGTCCTTTTCCTCCTTGCTTTGCCATATCACATGTGTTCCCTGGGACTCTACTTATTCATCTGCCATAACTATAATATACAGTCAGTCATTCTGACCATACTCCAAGAAACAACCATTATTTTCTGCATCTTTATTATCTCTTGCCAATCCTAATCATTTATTTACGTTCTTCAATTCAATTCTCATTAAACAGAAGAATCAAAACTATGATTATTTCTAACATGTCAGGTTTGTATTGATTTTCATTCATTCCTAATTAGCACCCTTTTCCATGTTCTATTGTTGCTGTTCCTCTCCATATACAGTCAAATTTCTGTCATTAAACATAGTTGTTTTTTGTTTTTTTTCTTTTTTGAAATAAACAATGCTTACAGCTCACTGGGGGGTGGGGGGTGGGAGGAGCCCTTTTGTTTTCTTTTCCTTTCATTTTATATGTCTCAGAATCTTTACCATCTTTCTCAGTGGACATAAGCTTTCTAAAGCTCACCATTTGCTCCTGGTCACATCTCCTCCCATCGCCTCTGCTATCCACTGCATTTCTCCCTTTCTCTGATTCCTTATACATAGGAGTCTATGAAGCCTGAAAACCTGAATCTCTATCTTCTTCTTCCTCAATGTATGATGCCAAGCATCTCTTTTCCTTCTTCAATGGCTGTCTTGAAAGATTTC